CGCGGGGAGGGGCGGACGCGGCGGACAAGGTCGGCCCGCGGTGGCCTCCGGCTCCACGCGGCTGCGACAGCGCAGCTTCACCCAGGGCGCCCCGCCCTGGTACCAATGGTTTTCCCGCTAGCTTGGCCACGCGCCACGCGCTGCCCCTGGAGGTGCAGCCAGCTCCGTGTAGTTCAGCTTTTGCAGGTACAGCCGCCCAGTACCCCCGCCGACAGCGGCAACTCTACCTCTCCCTCAGCGGCAGTTAGCTGCGACCCTGGGCGCTCGCGCTGAAGGGCGGTTTCGACGGGGCCCCTGGTCCCCTGCGGGGAATGGCGGACTCGGAGGATAAGGCCGTCCCACGGTGGCCTTCGGCGTACTCAGGCGGCAGCTGCCGTGCCTCTAGTGCAGCGCCCCCCGGATCCCCCCGCCTCGCTGGCGATGCTCACCGCGCCTGCCTGGCTGTCTCCTACAGTCCATCTCGCGTCGGCACTGTGCCGTTGTTGACGGGGCCAGCCAGCGGTCGTCCAGGCCTACCTCGTGCACTGAAGGGTGGACTTCTGGGTGCTGTGATCGCGCTGGAGTGGTTTAGCCTTCTGCAGCCGCAACAGCACCCTGGACTCTTCCCCCTCTTCTGGCAGGTTTGCGACGGTCCTCGGCAGCTCAGCTCTTCCTGCCAGCGCGCGTCGTTGGGGCGGCTTGGGCCTGGCGCCCCACTGGCGACTCGCCCATCGGTCTTCGCGCCTGCCCCCACCCAGTATGAAGGACACGTCGGCACCTGTGCACGTCATGTCGCCTGTGTGGGTTATGCCGCACGGCATGCAACGAAATTCTCGGCATTTTGTCAGACTGCACGTGCTCGAGCTTCCCAGGATGCCCCCTGCCGTCAGCTTCCAGCGTAGCCCCGCGGCTGCTTGGTGAGTGGGCCGGCCGGCTAGCGGCGCGTCTTGTAGCTAATCAGCCTTGTTCGCTGCCCCGGAGATTTGCTTTCGCCGCGTGTGCTCTTCGCTCGTGGCCGCGACAAGAAAGCACCCCCACCAGCCCGTCCAGAAATGAGTCCCAGGGGAGTGGAGGTTATGAGGGAAGGGGGGAGCATGCAGAATAACAAAGGGCGTGGTGAGCCGCCATATGTCCCAAGAGGGGGGGGATGTAGGAGGGGCCGTCGTTGTCGGAGTAGGAGGAGGGAGAGGAGGAGCAGGAGGAGGAGCAGGGGCAGGAGGGGGCGGAGGAGGAGGAGGGGGAGGAGGAGGCTGAGGAGGAGGAGATGGAGGACTGCGAGGACGAGGAGGACGAGAAGGAGGAGACGGAGAAGGAGGAGGAGGAGGGCGGGGAGGGGGAGGAGGGAGGGGAGGAAGAAAAAGAGGAGGGGAAGGAGGACAATGGCGAGCTTTGGGGCCTCTTGGGCCGTCTTTGGGGCCTCTTGGCTGTCCCGGGTTTTTCTGGGTCTATCGGGGAGCCTCTTGGGGCCTCTTGGGGGTCTTTTGGGGACTTCTTGGAGGCCTCTTGGGGCCCTCTTGGGGCCTCTTGGGGCGCCCTTGGGGCGCTCTTGGAGCGCTTTTGGGAGCCTTCGGGGCGCTCTTGGGGCCATCTTGGAGGAGATCTATCAAAGAAGGGGGGGTCGTATATTAGTGCTGCCCCTCTGGAGTGCCTTGAAGCGCTCCTGTGGCCCTTCTTGAGGCCACAATCCTTCGAGAACCTAAAGAAAATCAATGTTTTGTGCTTTTCCGCTTTTTCGCTCTAGGAGCCGTCTTGGGCCATCATGGGAGCCTCTTGGGGCCTCATGGGGGTCTCTTGGGAACCTTGGAGGCCTCTTGGGGCCGTCTTGGGGCCTCTTGGGGCCCTCTTGGGGCGCTCTTGGGGCGCTCTTGGGGGCCTTCGGGGCGCTCTTGGGGCCATCTTGGAGGAGATCTATCAAAGAAGAGGGGGTCGTATATTAGCGCTGCCCGTCTAGAGTGCCTCGAATCGCCTCTGAGGCCCTCCTTGAGGCCAAAATCCTTCCCAAACCTAGGGGGAGTCAAGGTCTTGAGCTTTTTCGCTTTTGCGCTCCAAGCCCGGGCAGTGGACGTCGTCCGCGCCCCCATGCCCGCCCTGGACAAGGGGATTTCAGTGCGCCTGGTCGTCGGGCACCGCCTGCAGACAGCGATCCTGGGGGATGGGCGGCCTCAGGGCCCAGACAACATGACAGGTGTCATCCGACATTCCCGCAGTGGAAAAGGCAAACGCAAGGGCAGCAAGCGCAAGGGAGGAGAAGGCAGCAGGATTGACTGCAGCCGCTCCCTGGCACCGGGCGTTGGGTCGGGCGAGTTTGACGACCGGCCTGTCGACGCCTTCGGCTGGCAGCAGGTCTTCGACCAACACGACTTCGACCAGACCGGAATCAGAGTTGAATTTCGTTGGGATTCGGCGCATCGCCCACCGGCACTTTAGAAAGGGCACGCTCAAACTTGCCGCGATTGAGTCAAGCCAGGGTGGCGAGGCTGACATAGTGATCTTCCTCACCACCAGGTCCAACGGGAACCGCAACTGGGGCTTCATCGACGACGCAAACAGAGTCAGCGTTGCGATCACCAGGTCCACCCTGTTCGTCATAGTGATCGGGGCGGGCGAATGTTCGCAAGCGCCGCCTCGTCAAGGCTTCGGGTGCTTTCGGAATACGGGAGGCCCACCGACCTCTGGGTCAGGTTCAAGAAGAACCGCGCTCCAGGCGATCGCCTCCTCCTGGAACCCGTCACCGATTTCGACCCGATCCACGACCTCGCGACCTGGGTCACCACCGCTGTCTCCTGGTCCAGCAACGCCGACGGAGACGACGCGACGAAGGAGATGGGCTCGGCCATAAAGCGCGCCCGCGAGTCCCTGGCGAACAGCTTCGCGGACAGGGTCGAGGCGCCGCTCCAGCCGGATTTCAACGGGGAAGCCCTGGGGCGTTCCATTCTGGACGCCATGAACAACCTACTCTCGGTGCCTGCGTTCGCCGTGGTCCTCTACCTGGTCTGCGGACTCCACCCCCGCGAGTTCTCCCTGGTGGGCGCCCCCCAGGGATCTAGGAAGACTCGACCTGAAAGCCTGGTCCCACCTCGGCTTCCCCTGCGACGTGACCATCGGCTTGGGCGCCAGCAGCCTGGCCTGCAACATGTTCTGGGCCTGCCTGGTGTGGGTATTGGGCTTGGGCGCCCCCGGGGAGGACGGCGCGCGCGCTGTCTCAACCGACTCCGTTCCGCCGCGCCCGGCGTCGAAGTGGCGCCGCGGGTCCGGGCGCCAGTGCGCGCCGAAGGACTTCTCTGGCAAATCCCCCAGGCTTGGAGCGCGCCCACCGGCAAGTGTTGTCGTCACATGTCACGCCCCGGCATGGGCACCCTTGCATTTCTCCTACGCGCCGGACGCAAAGACCCCGAGTTGCGCGACCGACTGAAGGGCGCTGACGACCGTCCCCTGGACACACGGAAGGCCCGCGCCCTAATGGTCATCATGGTGCTCATGATCAGAGAGCCCAGGGTCCTTCTCTGGCCCTTCGCAAACGCCGAGGGCGCGGGAGACGTCATCGAGGCCGTGCTCGGCCTCTGTGTACCCTGGTAAGACGTCCACTTAGTTTTCCGACAGAAGTTCGCAGCAGCATGGGGTCTCAAGCTCGGCGACTTCACCGACCTGCATGGGAAGATCGAGGACGCGTTCTCACAAGTCTCCAAGCTGGTGACGAACGCTCGCCACCATGACGCAGCCAGAAAGGCGGGGTGTCCCCAGACCTGGAAGGACATGGAGATGGCCGACTTCAAGCTCAAGGTCCCGATGCTAGTCCTGGAGGCAATCGTCCCCCCTGCGAACCTCGACCCTCTCGCAGACTAGAAGTGTTCAATTTGCGCCCTCCGCGCGGCCCTGGCCGGGTCCGACTCGGGCCTGGGAGAAAACGGGCTGACGCTGCCTTCGTGTGTGTGTGTGTGTGTGTGTGTGTGTGTGTGTGTGTGTGTGTGTGTGTGTGTGTGTGTGTGTGTGTGTGTGTGCGGGGGGGGGGGGGGGGGGGGCGCAGCCCTTTCCAAAACCGACCTGTCACCCCCCGCGCCTCCCGCCCCCGCGCCGGGCACGAAGCTAATCCCACCCGCCATCGCCGATGACAGGCTACACTGCGACCAGGAGAACGCTTCCCTCACCTCGACCGCTGCCAGACTTACAAGCTGTTGCACGCCGACGGAACCTGGGGGGGGGCAACTCGGTCAGGGACCTTCTGGCCAGCAGCAGGCCGCAAGCCTACCTGGACGGGGAGAACCTCAGGTGGTTATGCGAGAACTGCTGGGTGGCTCACCTCAACATCCAGTGCGTCCCAAGCCCGCCGCCCCCCTGACCTGGGCCCCTGGGATGTTGGCGCGACCCCGCCGAGGGAAAGACCAGGCGTCTGAGCGACCTCCTCATGACCCCAGACGGACCTCGCGCCCCTCGGTCCGCGAACACCACGATCCCGGCCATGAGGATCTCGGACGGAAGGTTCGGCAAAAACGCCTCTAGATGAGGCTCCTACTCCGCCAAGTGCGACGCGTGTCCCCCCTCAGGCCCCCTGCTGGTCTGGAAGGAGACGCGCCAGCGCTCGGTTGCTTCCTCTGGAAGGCTGAGCCCGAGGCATCGGACCGCGGGAAAACAGGCCTCCCCAGCTGGGACCAGTGGCCGCTCTCGTGGGTCCAGCGCAACTCGAACACCACATGGTGCTGCCGAAGGTGCCTAGTGTTTATCTGGAGCGTCGCCCCCGCAACATTGGACGACATCATGGACCGCGACTCCGGTGGCGTCTTCCCGCGGCAGCCGACAGCCCGCCCACGTCAGACAGCGCGGGCGGACTCCAGCAAAACTGCCCCATGATCCGGCAGCCCTCCCCGCACTGGCGTTGCGCCTACGACCCCCGCGCCCGCAGGCTCCCCCCAGACGGCCCGCAGCAGGGTGAGGGAGGGAGCAATGGCGGCGGACCGCGGGGCAGCTCGAACCGGCGCGCGGTCGCCGAGATCCTGGCCCTTCTCCCAGACTTACGTCCTCCGGAGGTCCCCAAAGTAGGTCGCAGGAACGTTGCAGGTCTATCCTTCGAAGAGGGAAGCGTGCCCAAGCATGGGCGGCGCAACAAGCAGAAAGACGTCCGCCACACCCTGGTCGCCTACTTGCTGGACTATCACCCAACGGTGGACGACAAATTTATGAACTTTGTCAAGGGCCACGACGCCGATATTCCAGCCCCGAGCGACTTGGAAACCTCGTGGTCGGCTCGCCAGCGCGCCCGTTTCCTGCGTGAGGTGTGCGGCCCCGAGGTCCCTGACAACGGACTCCCCGACGGCGCCACTTGGGGGGGCATGAGGTAGGCGGCGGCCAGGGTAGTTGGGCACCTGCTACACAGTCTCAAGCACCAACTTGCTTGGACGACCCATCACCAGGGCGTAGCTTCCACCAGGGGGCCGAACCCCTTCCGCCATGACCTCGCCGTCCTCGCCAGCTTCATCCCCGGCCTCGACTCCGACGCACTCGCAGCCACTTCCATCGCCACCCTGGCGGAGCAGGACCCCTCGGCCCCATGCGTTGACGAAGCTGACGCCCCGCCTCTGGGGGAATCCCCGATAGCCTGGCTGCAGCCGGAGCCCGGGCGCGTAGCTGGATCGGCGCGCGACGACCCCCTGGCTACCGGTGCCCCCACGTACGGCGCGGCCTGCAGTGACGTCGGGCTCTCCGCGCCCCGGACAGACCCCAACCCCCTGGTGACAGGCCCCGACGCACCAGGTTCCTCTCCCCACGGAGAGGAAACTTGCTCCCCGACGAGCGCAGCGTCCACCGTGAAGGCGGATGTCGACGGGATAGACTACGACGAGGGAAAGGGCGACGCCGCCCCCCCGACTCCCGCGCCTCCCCGTGGCGGCGCGCCAGACGGCGCGGTCGGCCCCGAGGGCCCCCCGCCCCCTCTTTCGACCGGGATGGCAGGGCGAAGCAACTGGAGGCAGCCCTCCCGACGACCCGCTAGGGGCGTTCGGATCAGACGCCCGACGCCTCAGCGAGGGCTCGCCTGAGCGACGCCAGCCGAGGGGTAACGTCGGCGCCAGCCCACCGCCCAAGGTGACGCGCGACCCCCCGCAGAGGCAACCCTCGCCTGCTTGCAAGCCGGAGAACAGCAGCTCCCCAGCAGCAGCGTCAGACAGTCGCCCCCCTTCCCCCCGGGGGTTGGCGCGATCGTCACTTCCAGCCAGGCAGCTCCAGTCAGCCCGCCCAAGGCCCCCGGGCCCCACCTCAGACAGCCAGCTCGAGGCCGCCGCTCGCCAACCCCCGCGAATGGGGCTCCAAGCTGGTCTTTGACGACCTTATCGGTCCCATCGGAGGGGGTCCCATGTGCAAGGAACGGTTGGGCAATGTCGATCTCGACGAACTTGCGGAAACACTTTCAGCCAAGATCTCCCGTCTCCAAAAGACCCAGGGGGGAGTGTTCAGCAGCGTCTGGCATGCCTGCGCCCGCGTGCGCCCAGCAGGGGCCAACGGCCCAAAGAGCGACCCCGCGCTGGACCCTGAGGGCCCGTGCCGTGCTTTCCTTGACGCCTGGAAGCGCCGTGGGTATGGTGCCTGCGAGATGGGCCGCGAGCGCGGGCTCCAGGTCAGATGGGGGCGGGAGCGCGACAAGTGGTCAGGGTGCCAGGGCACCGGGGCCCCACAGTACAAGGGATACTCCACAAGCTCGAGCCAACCCTGGGTCTGGGACTCATGGTCGTGGTCGCAGGCCTGGGGCGGCGACGTTTGGCAGGCCTCGGGCAAACGTGGCGGTGGCGATAGCAATGGCGGGAGAGGGGGCAAGCGCTCCCGCGCATGGGGATGACGCCCCACCCCCTTCACACCGTTGGGCCCCGCCGCGCCGCATCGTGATCGCGGGCGCTTTGCTGTCGCCGTGTTGGCTCCGCCGCCGGCTACCCAGCCGAACCTGCCCCGCCGCGCCTGACCAGACGCGGACCTGGCGCCCCAAGAGGGCGGCCGACCGCAGCTATCCTCTCCATGTGGTGCAGACGTCAGGCCTGCCAGGCTCGCCGTGGCTGTGCCTTGGATTCTTCAGTTAAAATAGGGCCCGTTAGGCCGAGAAGGAACGCGGTTCGATATTATCGCAGTCGCCAAAAATGGGGCCCGTTAGGCCAAAGGTGTCGCTGCCTCGTTCATGCGGCATGCAGTGGTCGCTTGAGACCTCCGACATCGCGTATGTTCGGGGGCTTGGGCGGGGGCGTCCGACGGCGGCCCCCCTCGTGTCGCCCTAGACGCGACTCCCGCAGCACTCGCTGTGGCCGACGTCCGACTTGCAGGCGGTGTTCCTTCCCTGGTGCCACTCCTTGCCCAGCCCCCTTGACTCCCGGCCCTCGGGACAGGGACAGCGCGCTACTGACAATGCTGGCTCGTGCGTGACCGCCGGGGCCGTGGTCCACCTGTCCCCTCTTTGTTTCGCCCTAGACGCGTCTGTTGCAGTCCCTGCTGTGGCCGTCGCTTGACTTCTTGCAGGCAGTGCTTCTTCCCTGGTGCCTCTCCCTGCCCAGCCCCCGCTGCTCCCCGCCCTTGGGAACTCGGGCAGTGGCCTGCTGGCAATGCTGACTCGCGGGCTACCGCTGGGGCTGTGGTCCACCTGTCCCCTATCGGCCTCTGGCCTGCTTTAGTTGTTTTCACTTCGGGCGCGTTCCTTCCCCGCGCTACCGGGCGGCCCGCCGGGTCGGGGTGCCCCCCCCCCCCCCCCTCGGCTTGGCCCCCGTTTTCCCCGTCGGTCGGTGGTGTCGTCCCCCGACGTACTGGCTTCCCGCTTGTCCGCCCGTGTCGCGGTTTGCCTTCCCCTCCACGGGGCCCACGGCCGTCTGTGGCTCAGCTCAGACCTCCGTGCTCCTGCCACGCTGCGGTTGCAACCCTGGTTTCGGTCCTGGGTCTTCCCCGTGGTGCCGATGCTCGCCTGTCGCCACTTCCGGTGTGCTGACTACGGGCTCGTGACCCTCTTCAGGGCTCTTGGTGTGCTCCTATCCTGGCGCCACTTCTTGCACTTGTTCGTGGTGGCCCGCGCCATTTTGGCCGCGCGGCAGCTTGGCTGCTTCTCGTGCTCGTGCGTTCTGCTGCCGTGGGACTTTGCGGCTTCGGCCACCCCAGCATCAATTCGACCTCCGACTGTCTGTCCTTTTGGCTGCGGCCACCCTGGTTTTCTCGCAGTTGTCCGGGGTCTCGCGCCCTTGCATTAATCACTCGGCTTTTGTCCCTGGTCGTCGTTCTTCCCGACTACCTGGGGCTTCCGACGCCGAGCATACCTGCACGCTGGCAGTACGACTCAGTTTCAGCTGCCCCCTCCACTCGCTGGTCCGCCGCTGAGGTGCTGCGTGAGGCCCCGCTTAGCCGCTTTAGGTGAGGCTGCCTTCCGTTGCTTTAGGTGAATTCTTGACGCTTCGCGTATCCCCACCAACCCATCCAGAAACGACGCCCAGGCGAGTAGAGGTGATCATGGAAGCGGGGCAGCATACAGAGGAACAAGGGGCTGTGGGGAGGCCGTCGTGCCCCAAGGGGGGGGGGGGATGGAGGAGGAGTCGGAGGCGGAAGAGGAGGAGGATGATGAGGGTGGGGAGGGAGGAATGAGGATGAGGAGGAATAGGCGGATGATGATGTTGATGTTGATATTGATGATGTTGATGATGACGATGATGGTGGTGGTCTTGACGATGGTGATGGTGATGGTGATGGTGATGATGATGATGCTGATGGGGATGATGATGGGGAGGAAGAGGAGGAGGAGGATAAAGGCGATCAGAAGAGTCAAAGGCCTCTTGAATGCCTCGCGGAGTCTCTAGGGATGTCTCTTGGGGTACTCTTTGAGGTCTCTTGGGGCGTTTTGGGGGCCTCTTGGCGGTCCCGGGAGCTTCTTGGACCGTCTTGGGTGCCTCGTGGGAGCCTCTTGGGGCCTCTTGGGGGTCTCTTGGGGGTATTTTGGGGGACTCTTGGAGGCCTCTTGGGGCCTCCTGGTCGCCTCTTGGGGCCTCCTGGGCGCCTCTTGAGGCCCTCTTGGGGCGCTATTGGGAGCCTTGGGGGCGCTCTTGGGGCCATCTTGGAGGCGATCGATCAAAAGAAGGGGGTCCCTCAATTAGCCTCCCCCCTCGGGAGCCTCCCAAAGCGGCCAAAACCTTAGTAAAACCGATGATTTTGGCTTCCTCGCCGAGGCCGTTTTGGACGCTCCAACTACCAGCGGCCCCCCCCGTCCAAGTTCAGGGGAGGGGGTTAGGGGGAGGGGTAAACCCCTCCCCGAAGGGGAAGGAGGGGTGGAAGAGGAAATTCCATAAACCACCTACGCCCAGAGGGCTGGTGGGATTTGTCGCGGCGTGCCGTGCTTTGACTGGACTCGCCGCTGGCGCGCTCGCCCGCGGCCGCTGACTAAAAAGTATCCCTAGCAGCCCATCCAGACACGATCGGAGTCTTTCTTGAGGCCTCTTGGAGGCTATCTTGAACCATATTCGGCTAGAGGCTGCCGGAGGCTATCGTGAGCCTAGGGGATCTCCGAGGGCTCCCTGTGGGGCCTCTTGGGCCACTCTGGGGGCCCTCTTGGGGTTCATTTTTGGGATCTTGGGGCCCTCTTGGGAGTCCTTGGAGGGGACAGTCTGGGTGGCTCTTGGGCCCTGTAGCTCAAAAGTGTGGTGGGGTGGGGGGGGCAAATTCAGGCCCCCCCTGGGGGCTCTCTTGGGCCGTCTTGGGGCCATCTTGAGGCTTCAAATGCCCATCGGAAACAAAAATGCGAGACGGCAAAACCAAGTTTCTGAATGATTTTGGCCTCTGGTGGGGTCCTTGGAGGGCCCGGAGGGCAGTTGAAACCGCCTTTGGGCCGTCTTGAGGCTTCTTGGGTGTATGTCGGAGGCTATCTTGAGGTATCTTGAGCCATCTTGGAGGCCATCGTGGGCTCCCTGAGGCCCTCTTGGAGCTATCTTTGGCCATCTGAGGCACTCTAACTATCCGCGCCCCCCCCTTCCCAGGCCTGGTGAGGAGGTTACGGGGAGGGGTCAAGACACCCTCCTAGATAGCAAGCCGTCTAGCTCACTCCCACCCGCCCTCCCGTCCCATAAGTAACACCCGAGCCTCAGCATGCTCAGCGATCGTCTTTGGATGGGCAGCTACTGGGAACCAAAACCGACCCCCTGTGCGCTACGCTGGGGCGAGGTTCGCCACGCGTGCCAGGCGCGCCACGCGCACCAGGCACCCCTGAGGCCCGAGCGCGCCAGGCACGCCTGGTGCGCCAGATGCGCTACGTGCTCCACGTGCGCCGAGTGTTTCCGCATACTCTAGCCGCGCCAGGTGCACCACCTTCGGGGCACGTGTAGAGGGTGTCAGGGGCGCCTGCGCACGTGACAACACACATCGGGAAACATGTCTGCCCCCATCATCCTTGTCGAAAACCAATGCCCATCATGGTGTCTGGTGGGCCTGCACACAGCAGGCCATGCGCCACCACCCCCGCCGTCCCTGTTAAAAACCACTTGACAGTGATCGCGGGGTGGCCGCGCATGATACAGATTTAGCCGCGAGTTTTTGTTTTTGTTGTTGTTGTTGTAGTTGCTGTTGTTGTTGTTGTTGTTGTTGTTGTTGTTGTTGTTGTTGTTGTTGTTGTTGTTGTTGTTGTTGTTGTTGTTGTTGTTGTTGTTGTTGTTGTTCTTGTTGTTGTTGTTGTGGTTGTTGTTATTGTTGT